ACAAACTAACCTAATGTACAAGATCAAAATCAACATATATAGTATCAAAGTAAGGAGAGAGAGAGATACTCCCCTAATCATCATCTAAAGATTCATCATCGGTGTAATCGGTAGGAAGACGGGAAGAGGATGGTAAATTGGCTGCAAGCTCATCGGGGAAAGAAGGTTCTTTATCACCGTATATCTTCTTGATGAACTCAAATGTGGCACATTGAGTAACCAAAAGAAGCTTGTACTTGTGCCTAAGCTCATCATATTGTTCCCTAGTCACCACCCCTCGGGTCTCGGGATCCGAGGCGGTAATCGGAGAATCATACTCTTGAACAATGGAATACCCTCGAACTCTTCTTAGGGATGTGACCGGCTTCTTAGGAGTCACTACATTCGCATCATCAGCCTCAACTACCGCATGTAAGCATAACTCAGTTATTAGTCTAGAAAAAACAAGAGGACCTACTATTTTCTCGAAAGAACTTCGAATTTTGTTTCTTATGAGCTTCCGAAAGTTGAACTCAATGCCTTTCATTATGATGTACACCATCATTGCCCTATTACGCTTAATGGGGGAATCGTGAGAAGAGTGTATCAACTGGTTCTTCACCACATACGTCCAAACTGTCGCTTGCTCATTCATGTCAAAGGGCTTCAAGGAAAGCTTTCCCATGGTTGAGACCGTCCATGTCTTGTGTGGTCTAAAAATAAGTCTACGCGCCTCCTCCACTTGCTCGTCTGATGGATGTACCAAAATTTCATTACCTATGGCATTAAAAACATCCAAAAAACTATAGTGAGTATTAATAATGTAAGGCGAGAATTCTAGTACCTTACCCCGTACTTTCACTACATCCCCTAGGTTCGGATTGATGGTACTGTAAAACTCTTTCACCAAGGCCTCCGATACACGTGTAGTTGAGGCAAACAACGATTCCCAATCATTCTTTACAAGCCTTCTACTAACATATTCCGGCACCGGCTCTTGGGCCTCATCAAAACCCCTTTCAAGTAGAATTTCACATGTTGTGAAGTTGGGCCTCCTCACTTCCAATCTCACCCTTTTTACTCTTGATGGTGTTTGTTCGATAGAAGGCTCCTCTTCGTTGGCCTCCTCAAGTGGCTCTTCTACCCCTCTTTGCACCTTAACCCTCTTGGTTTTTTTAGATGGACCAACCTCGGCTTCTTTTTGGGCAGCCAAACATGCTACAGCAGCTCGGGTCCTAGGCTTAGAAATTGTGCCAGGCGCAAATTTTGCCACTTTCTTCTTCTTTTGTGTTTTCTTCACCACTTCGGTCAAGCTCACCTCCTCATCTGAAGTCTCTTGTGAAGAAGAGGAAGATGGTTCCTCTATGGCCTCACTAGGGACATCCACAGGACCGGATGTTCTTTCTTGCTCTTGTACAAGGAGCTCCTCATTATTTTGCTGAGATTCGTGCACCTAAGTTCGTACTCTCACTTCATATTAAGAGACATCGTCATTGTCTTCTTCCTCTTCAAAACTCATCTCCATGCACTTCTTGGGGCAATTCTCCAAGATCTTCATCCTCTCCATCAACATTCAATTGTCCTTGTGCAGCCCCACATCATCCTCTAATGGATCTTCTCCACTTGCTTCATTCAACGCCACCAAAATTTTGGCAATTTTCGACGTTGTCCTTTACTATCCTGAATCATAAAAAACTAGGGGCTTTTTAGTCAAGATAGGATCTGGAAAAGATGGAAATAAAATACCTTGTAGAATGGCCGGTGGAGTCTCATCCATAATTTTGCCAGGTGCAATTTGGCATTGAATTTCGACCGTGGCTGAATTTGAATGCTCCATGGGCTCCATGTCGTATTCTGAGTCCCCACTAACCTGTTTTTCACCTTCAACATGCACAACAACAGTAGTGGAGAGTAGGGGAGGGATGGACAGTTCTAAATACTCGGAAACGAGGTTATCTTGAGAAAGATTCATCCTATGACGTATACTCATGCTATATAACTCAAGTTGAATCTCCCCACTCACTTTCTTTGAGTTTTCATGAATTCTTGTTATTTTATGTTCAATTCCTCAATTTTCGCATAAACCATATCATTCCCTTTATCCCTAATTTCTTTATTTTTACTGAACATCTTCGCTCTGTCATGAACTTTATCGATTTGCTCATCTAAGGCAGCACCTTTTTCCTCTAAAGTTTGATTTTTTCGAAGATACACTTTATTAACTCCTCCTAATTTCGTCTCACTATGACCCTCTTTATTAACCCTGACATCATTAGATTCCATATTGATTTTTTTAGAATTTGTACCACCTATGGATAGATTTCTCCTAGGGTTAATTCTTATAGCTTCCTCATATTTTCTTTTTTGTTTCCTAGGATAAAAAACTAGCTTTTCATGAGAAATTCTAGGAGGTTCAAGAGGAATCATATTCGGTTCAGTTGGTGGAGGCAACAACACTTTCTTCTTCTCATTCTCTTTATCGTGTGCCTTGGAGGAAGAAGAACCTACCATGATTCTCGAGTTTGCTTTACGATCAACAACGAAAATCCCTCCAATAAACCCTAAGTATGCCGAAAAAAGAGAGATATGAGAGAGACTCTAAGATTCTTTGAGATTTCTTGATAGAAGATTTGAAAACAGTGAGAAAATCGTGGTGAAAATTGTGAATGGGGGGAATTTGAAATCTTAGGGCTTTTTGTTTTATGTTTTAAAACATATTAAAAACATAATTGGGTTTAAAATTGGGCCTCTTTTTTATTTAAAAACAATCCAAAGCCCATTTAAACATAACCCACATAAAGCACACGAGAGCCCTAATCCATTACTAAAAAATCTATTTTTTTTCTCTTAAATTGCACCTGGCACAATTTTGACGAGGGTCGGATCTTGATCCTGTAAAATTCAAATGCAAAAACAAAAATTAGATTTGGAATCTACACAAAAAATTCCTAAAGAAAATGTAAAAATTTCGCAAAAAGAAGACAAAAAATATTTTACATAAAAACACCTCCCAAGCTGCTCGAGAGACTATTTTCACAGTTTTTTTTATGATTCAGCATGTTTAACAAACATACAGTAGTTTTAGCAGCAACAAACAAGGCATGAAGTATGTATGATAAGGAGCCTAGTCCATAGAATGTCAATGCTTATATGACCCTAACTTGTAAGACTAAACATGATATATGTTATCCACCAAACATCCCAGCATGCTGTCCAGTTGATGCAAATACTTCTACCTAGAAAATATCATGACTAAGCACACATGAACAAAACAACATTCCGTCAACAACGAAACAAGGTTTATAAAACTCTCTCGATTAATCCGATGAGTAAAACAAAAGAAAAAGGCCACCAAGTGGCGCTTTTTCTAGGCATTCCATATTTAAGTATTGTTTTGTTCCTTTTTATGGAATAATGCTCACTGCTCTTTGCCTTACGTCTTGTTTATTTTCTTGGGAACTCTAATCCTGTACTAAGAAAATTAAATTATTAAAACGTTCAGGACATAATAAAAAACCGAAAAGTAAACAAACATGACACTAATGTACAAAACTTCCCTCCTATTTGATTTTACTTTCAAGAACGTTGGAGGCTTTCAACTTTCACTCATTTCCTCAAGCTCGTTCGATCTCTCTTTTGCTGCTACCATGTCACAGTTTCACTCCTGTAGAGCACAATATGCTTTAAGATCTAGCTCAAGGGGTAGGTGACTTACTTGTATGTATTGGTTTTTTAAAATTGGAATGTAGGGTGAAACTTTAACGTAAAACCTTTCATCTGAACCTATCTCATCTTCTCCTATATCTTCCTTCACTTGATCCTTGACAGGTTTGGTTAACTCTTCCTTCTTTATGTCTTGGGTTATCTCTCAATAGCATCGACGGGAAGGGAAAAGTGGTCCAATATTTAGAGGTGATGGGTTTAAGTCCATTGTAACCTCACGCTCCATTACCTCTATCGATCTCTCGGGTTCAACTTCTTTATTCTTCCATACCTCGTTTGCCACTTTAGGGGTTGGTGGATCATCATTGTCTATTGGGAGCTCAAGTTCGTCATCTTCAAGCTTGCTCCATACATTGATTGCCTCACCTTGCTCTTCCATATTGGTAGGCAATGCTTCTGGTGGACTATTCCATAACTCATCACCTCTAACTTTAACCATAGTCCGCATTTCAATGCTTCTGGCAGTTCCTGCCATAAAATTTATCATTGTCTCTTTAAGGTACACATGCATAATGTTCATAGCTTATGTTATCTCAATAATTCTAATAGATATTTTAATCCATATATTTTTAATTGTCATGACTATCCTGCAGTTATGGTAGTCATAGTTGTTCATATAGCTTGACTAGATATTGATTCATGTCATTTTAAATAGGAGTGTTTCATGTAGTTGAATTGTTGTGACTATCGTGCAGTTATGATAGTCATAGCTATTCATAGAGTTTCACTAGATATTGATGCATGTAATTTTAAATATGAGTTTTTGATGTAGTTGAATTGTTGTGATTATCCTGTAGTTATTGTAGTTATAGTTTTTCATAAAGCTTCACTGATATTTGATGCATGTCATTTTAAATATCGATGTTCGATGTACTTGCATTGTTATTAATCTCCTACTGTTATGGTAGTCATAACTTGTATTTGTTAATTACATTCACAAGGGATCATTTGTGTTGCTTATATTGTATTTGCTGTAGTTGAGGGTTGTGACTGTTTGTATTACGACCTTCCAAAACTTTTTCTTTTGTTTATGAGCTTTGTTGGAGGTTAGATGCAAGGCTCCAAATAGTAAGTAGTTATGTAAGGAGGGGCAAAGAGGGAACTCACCTCGTCCAAGTTAGTTAGTTTTAGACTGTATACTTTTTGAATCTTGTGTATTGTCCTATTCTAACGGCCCAGAACGTTTTACACTTTTCTAGGTAACGTTAACTAAACCACCTGTCTAATCTTACTTCTAAACACAAGATGACTAGCTCCCTGTGAAACATTTAAATAAAATAAAGCTTCAACTACCATCATTTTACCAATGATATCAAACCTATAGATTATCAAATAATCGCCCTTCGTGGACAATTCCAAAAGATACATCTCATGTCGGCCTCAGTGGCTAGGAATCTTAATTAAAAAGAAACAATCGTTTAACTAAAACTTCAACGAACAACAGTGACACGTATAGCAATAATATCCGTAAAACAATAAAATAAAAAAAATGACCCTCGGGTTGACAAAACGCCTAGTATCTCCATAGCAACAAATTCTAACGCTACTCGTGATGGACGACATTTTCCATAATCCTAACCGACTCATCTAGTGATCCCTCCTCGGTCAAACCCCCTTCGCGTCATCACCACGGTCGGCCCTGTTCACACCTAAAATAATTAAGGAAGAGGGGGTGAGTACATAAAATACTCCGTAAGTAGCCCTTCCTAACTACACACAACAACATGCTCGCAATCTCAACCACACAAAAATAAAAACAACAGCAAGACAATAAATAGGCAACAAAGGATAATAACCATAGATTAACATCTTCATGCAAACAACCAATTGCTGGGACTTCCGGGACCTCAACCACACGATTCACCGACCTTTACCCAATTGAGCTAACCCCTGCTCTACATCCCATGTTAGGACTCCAAGTCTAACTCTTCGAGGCATAACGGCTCTTGACATTTATCCCCAAGATACCGACCTTCCTTTACAATGCTTGATGTTTGACCTTGCCATTTATCGCCAAGGCCCTGAACTACTACTCACAAGCACCACCCTACATTAGTCCTTCAAGCCTAACTCTTCGAGTCGCATGGGCCCTTGACATTTATCCCTAAGGCCCCAATACTCCTCTACAGAAACTTGACGTTCGACCTTGCCATTTATTCCCAAGGCCTTGAACTATGCACCAGTCCTTGACATTTATCCCCAAGGTACCGATGGCTACCCCGCCGCGTATTGGTCCTTGACATTTATCCCCAAGACCCCAATACTCCTCTACAGAAATTTGACAGTTCGGCCTTGCCATTTATTCCCAAGGCCTTCCACTCAAGGCTTGAATAACCAAGCCGTTAGTAAGCATTTTCAATCTAAGCAACCCACATTTCAATTCACAGCACAACTCACCAGCATGCTTTTCATTATAACCAACAAAGCACTAGACCAACAGTTCCCAACCGAACAGTATAAACAATTTATCAAACTATCAACGCGAGCATCTCATTTCCAATATGTTCACATAACGCCACAAGTCGATTACTCCGAACACAGCAATCAAAATTGTCCAGTCACATACAACAATAAGAAACACATGTATTCTCATAATGTCCAACAATGAAAACAATACCACGTAACTCAACAAAATCACTAAAAGTTCACAAACCAAAAACTAACAACCCATACACAAATGAATTATTCAATCTAAAATCAACATCAAAACCACTCCGTTAACGCTAAATAATGCACACACTCGCCCCCTAGTGCTATTTACCAACCACGTCCCTAAGTCTTGCGTCGATCTCACACCTAAGCATAAAAACAGAAAAAAACAGCAAGTTATATGTACGGTTTAGCTTCTGAAATCAACTCTAAGAGGGTTCAAAGGGCTCCTTACCGCAAAGTTGACCTCGTGTAGGTGTGGGTAACTTACATCTAGCTTGCAAAGGTGTGGGTAGCGTAAATCGGGCTTCGAACGGATGAAGGAAATCGCTGAACACCACCAAAACGCTGCTGTCCACATTTTTGCAGCAGAGAAATACACCAAAACGACCTCCAACCGGTTCGTCTTGATGCTCGTTACTACAAAACAACTTCGCTGAGGTGTGGGTATTCTAAATC